AACCCTAATATCACCCCATATTCTATCTACTTATGGGGGACTACAGCAGAACAGGGGTCATCAACTCCTTAGGGGCGAGAAGCATGGCACCAGCCATGCATGCACCAGTATAAAGGGGGTTTAATGGGAACAACAGGGAACCCCAAGAATATAGTAGGAATATAATAGAATGTAAGCACCCTTGTAGGTATATTCCTGCTATATTCCTACCATATTCTTGGGGTTCCCTGTTTGGGGTTCCCAGTAAAGTCCCTTTACAGTATTGCAACAGAGAGACCCGCGATACTGGCAATTCGTGTCCCCTGGCGTTCCCTGCAAATGGAGGTTTCCTAAAATTTTGGGTACCTTCTTGGGGTCCCCATAATACGGATTATAATATTTGGGGTCTATATTGGGGTCCCCTTATTTTGGGAAACTATTACATGTAGCTTGTTAGATTGATTGGGCTTGCAAATATGGAGATTTTGGAGGCTGTGCCGCCTGATGGCATGGAGACAAGACGCTTGCTGACAGTTTGCAACCGCTCGCTACTTTTTGCTCTCGCTGCATGCCAGCAGCACCAAGACAAGCCCAAAGCTGCTAGATCTACAGCAGGAAAGTTTGAACAAGCCGTCACGTGGGAGTGGCCCACGCCTAGTGATACAACAGCCAAAGAGCGGCTGCGTTTTAAATTTTGCAGTTTTCAAGCCATGCATACGCTGGACGAGTCCCCTGCTGCGCTGTCTGACCAACTCAGCAAGGCTGGACTATGAACGGCGACTGCCCATGTGAGCTATAGTTTAAACGTCTTCAACGGGGTTATATAGGGCTATATCGGGGAGCATTACAGGAGGTATTGAGCCGGATACTAGGAGTTTAGACTATAGCTCATTGAGGTATGGCTTTGATACAGGTTGTAGACGGTCAGTTAGGGGTATCTAACCCCAATGATGGAGAGTCAAATGGAAAAGAACACGGAAAATGAAATGGGAATTGGTTTTGTATAGGATTAAGGTTCCATTAGGTAAGGTTTTATTATTGGTTGTGGTGAGTGTGTATAACGTACCTTTGGGAGTATTGTTGCGTGTATACATGAGGTGTCCAATTATCGGGACCACATTGAAATAGCTTGGTTCATGCAGTATGCAGTGTGATCCCCTCTCCATAATAATCAGCCCCCACCGCTAAACCATAGACATTCCCAGTAGAGTAAGTGGTACCACTATACTGTGGCGGGAAACATTAGTGGGGCTTTGCTACTAGAGGGAGGAGATCCATGTATGACCTGTATAACAACCCAGTTCCCATTTCATTTTCCGTTTGGTTTTCCATCTGAGCTGTAGTCTAAACTCCTGAAAGGCTGGTTTTCTAGGGGATTATATAGGGGACCATTCTACGGTTTTTTGAGGGGGATACTAGGAGTTTAGACTATAGCCATATGATAACCCTAAACCCTCAACCCTAAACCTTAAACCCTAAGCCCTATGATACACCCTAAGCCCTAAGTAGCAGTTTCCATTCTTTTATTCCATTATCCCCATATTCCCTCTGTAACCCTAAACCTAAGCCCTAATTCCGTACACCCCAGACCCCCGAAAAGGATCCAAAAGATTGGAATCCCCCAAAATGATGCCCATTAGTACACTGCGGGAACTCGGGGATTATTAGCTCTAATCCTTAATATACCCCAAATATATCCCCTATAAAACCATTATAGTAGTTTCCATTTTATTTTCCATTATCCCAATAGTACCCCAAAATATTGGGAGGTTCCATTTTTTGGATCCTTTCGGGGATCTGGGACTTGGTCAGGCGCACCAAGAGCTCCTCGACCGACTGGACACCTGGTTTGCCAAGGTCGAGGACCCCTGGAAGGGTTGGAAGTATGGGCCCATAATGGTTTGGGGTTTAGGGTTTAGGGTTTAGGTTTTAGGGTTTAGGGTTTAGGGCTTAGGGTTTAGGGTCAGGAGGACTTAGTAAGCGGGTTAATAATAGGGATAGGTAAGGTTCCTACATGGTTTATAGGGGTTATCAACCTACGTACTAAGTCCCGCTGACCCTCCAAGTAGGCTTTCTAGGGGGATTCTAGGGACTGTTAAGGGTACATATAGCGTATATAGAAGGTATACAAGGATCCCAGGGTTAAGGAACCACACCAGGGGCCCATGGTTTCAACCTTAGCATAAGCCTAAACCCTGAACCCCAAACCCTAAACCTAAACCCTCAACCCGTGAACCCTCAACACTAAGCCCGTAACCCTAAACCCCGAACCCTAAACCCTATACAACCCTCAATCCCTAAATTCCAGTATAATCGTTTCCCTATTTTTCCATTATCCCCATATAACCCCAATATAACCCAAATGGGCACCAAACCTAATATGACCCCAATGGGTACCCATACCACGAGAAGCTCCCTTTTGTCTGCAGTGTGCCAAGAAGCTAAAGCATGATGAGGGGGGTTGGGGGGTTCTGATGAGGGATTGTGTAGGAACTGTTTTGGGGCACTCCTCAAGGTTCATGTACGTAGCCTACTGTACATGTGGTTACCTAGCCACCCACACTGTAAGCCCTAAATCAGGAACCCGATGTTATTTTTCATTTTCCTTTTTCATTCCCTACTAACAACCACGCATAAGTAAGCCATATACAAGCCAATCTAATCCCAGTGCCCAGGTGATTTCCATTTGATTCCATTATGGTACCCTAAAGCCGAAATAATGGCTTCCATTTCGATTTCCATTTTTGGTCTCCATGTTCTATCCCACTTGTTTCTCCATTGTCGTAATTTATCTTAAACTCAATCCCTACATTTCTGTTTCTCATTAGATATAGTTTTAATATAAACCATAAACCCAACACTTTAGGGTCCCATAATCCTCTTAAGGTTACGTACATATCCACGGGGCCTGCAGGGCCCCGATTTCGAGAATCCGCCTTTTGAGCCATAGTCTAAACTCCTGAAAAGGGGTTATATAGGGTCTTATACAGGGGACTAACACAGGGGTGATTAAGGGGGATACTAGAAGTTTAGACTATAGCTCATATAGCACCATTACTCGGCAAAGTCCACATGCAAATGCGCCATTCCCGACGCCAGAGATCCTCATAGCAGTCCGTAACTTAACCACCCTCATATGACTTGCACATCCCCGTTATGTGAGACGTGCCCTGAAAGGACCTATAGACATAACGCTTGGAATTTTGTGCGAGCATGTTCCCAAACGATACTCCAGTGCATCTCGCATACAACCCTTATCATATGACTCCTTTCATTCCTGTCAATGAGAGTCCCCAATGGGGCTTACAGAAGGATTTCAAACATGTTGTTGAACATATTCACGCCTCAGCGCCAAAATTCAGACAGTTGTTTGCAAGCCAGGTCCCAAACAGTGAATAGAGCCCCGCATATGTTCACAAAGCTGCCCGGCACTATCCTTGAGACACTCTAGGTGAACGGTCTTCTATTTAGCCGCATCTGGCATGTGCTCTACTGTATCTCTCCAGTAATTCAGGTCAAATTCATCAGCAACCCCCCAGTATGATCCAGAAAGTATTGACTCTTACAGCCCACCGGAATTCCCGCATTTCAGAAGTGTGTAATCCCAGTAATAGTGACTGTAAGGGCAACGGTACCTACGTTAGGGTCCTCTCACATGACTACTATATCACTATTACATGGTGGGGAGAATTCAAAAAAATTGAGGACGAAGTATTCCGATCACAGCAACAATCCAGAGCTGCAGCTTTCCAGAATCTCAGAACAACAGAACTTGACCTTCTGGAATACTGCAACAAGGACATTTGGGAATGCTGAACGTAGCTCTTGCAGACTCCGAATTCCCAAAGTCCAAAATGTGGAACGTTGGAAAAGCGCAAATCTGCGAATCCAGAATCCTGGAAGTCTCATGGGTCTGTGGAACGAAGGAAGACTTAGTCCTTGTTTGGCTTCTGGCATGATTTGAAGCCCCCCGACCCGGATTTTGATGAGAACGTAAGTCATAGTGTCATAGTTCAATTTGTATCCGGTTGCCCATGTTCTGACATACGGACCAAGCCAAGCGCATTCTATACCATGGTTCTCCAATCGATGGAAGGATAGGTAAGTGTCCCCCTCCTATGCCACATGTGTGACGTGCGGAATGAAGGCTTATCCCTTCAAGCGTTGCATGTTGCAGACGACGGACATGTCATGCGCAGGGACAAGCCCTCGCTCACGAAGCAAATGTTCAGGTTCAAGTAGGCCAACAGCTTCAGCACCATTACACGTTGATGTGAGAAAGCAGGCGTAACTTCGTGATATGCCCTTCAGCGCGTTCCTGTAATGACTAATTAACAGGGTTTGGTCGTGAGCGGGGCACTTGTCTTTGAATGGTTTTGGCGGGGGGCCCAGGCCGAGAGATGAAGTTCGAATATTGGTACTCGATGTGGTGTTCCGTAGACCGGGCAAGCGTGGGAAGCATATTGTGCGGAACTCCCTTTGTTTTTTTGTGCTCAGTCAAATAGCTTTTATAAGATAATGGTCCGATATTGTATTCAATGTTTGCGAGTGCTCTTATTTGGGGAGGAGAGTAACCTACAACACAAACATTCTTCACTGTGACAATGCTTGCCCATACTTCCGCATGAAATGTGGGCACATGCCAAAACGATTGGCT